CAAAATAAGGGTGCGTCTTATATTCCGAAAAATACGGTATATAAACAGCCACTCTACTGCTCTATTATATTGAAATTTATTAAAACAAATAGGTACAAGTAAGCCTAATAAACTGTTGTATTAAATGTATGTTTGTTGATTTCTTACGTAGGTAAGGCAACATGGACATGCAGTACCTCCACTAATTATTGGTATCCTTTAACACCAAACTTTAGGAATTGTAGTTCACTTTGGTTTGGGAATTTTGTTGAAAGAATGCATGCAGTAAGTGAAAATATTTTATTTAGAATTATTATTCAACTCCGCCGTTTGAATTCATACAAACTAAGTTTAATTTCAAGTTCAACATTATATTTCTCGATCAACAATGTATTTCCATCAACTTTTAGTTCAGAATTTAAATATGCATAATGAACAAAAACGGCTTAATAAAGGACTAATTTAAATATTAAAATATATCTATTTATACTTTAATATATACAGGTTAAAGTGTCTTTCTATAGGAAAAAATTAAAGTAATAAGGTGTGGTTTTTCAATTAATAAAAAAAATGGTTTATTGCAATTTAGTTCCATTTTCATCATGACATCATCTGTTATAAAACATGCACTCTTAGAATCAGTTTTGCTTTTCATTGTGGGTATTGCCGAATAAAAAGATAAGTATTTGAAAACTACATGATTTTTCCTCAGTTTTTAGCTGTAAACTGGTAACTTGTTATAAGTAAGATGTCCTTTCACTATTCTATGTTGTCTGAAGGCTTATAATACTAAAAACCAGATTTTGATAACTGTGGTAGGCATAGCACAGATAACCCATTGTTTAGCTTTGTGCTTAACTGCAAAAAAACAAGCTGTGAAAAAGTTAACTAAAGTAACCATTAACTAGAATTTGACTCCTGATTTCAAGGTTTTTCAGGTTTAATCAATGAGGGGATGAAAATATTTAAGGACAACTACCTGTTTATAATAAAAAGTTCACAACAGAATTTAAAGTATTTTAATATATGATTCAGGTCAGTAAACATGAATCAGTGGTGAATGTGGCAGAGGACTTATCACGAAGAACCACGAAAAGGCGGCTTTATGGTAAAGATATTAAAGAAGCTTCTTTCGTTATGAAAGGTCTTGTGTCAGCAACTAAAAATCAACCACATTACTATAGTCAGAACCAGAAAAAGGAGTTGATGCAGGTAAGATATAATTTTTGACTGTCAATTTGGAATATATTATTAGCCTTGTGATTTACTTTTCCCATTCTACACATTTCTATTAGACTAAGGATTTCAGAATTGAATAAATATATCTGTTACTTTTTTTGTATAAATTCTACATCATTAAATCATTGTTCATTAATTTTAGTATATACAGTTGATGAGAAACTTATTTTCAATGAGTTATTTATGCATTATATTCTTGGAACTTTTCTCTGTAATAAAAGTTGTAATATGTTTTTTATTTGTGTGTTTTGATTTTAAGGGTTTTTTAAATGTTTGACATGACACTCTATGTTAACCTTTTTTTCTTAATTAAGATTTATGACCAATTTTTATCTCAGTATGAAAAGAGTAATTTATTAACTGTTTTATCTAACAAATGTTATTCTTACCACTACTGTTATTTAAATTTTGTACTGAATGTTTATAACTTTTACTTCTTACATTGTATACTCTGAACTGTTGACTTTTTAGGTTTTTACTGTACGAGTTAACTTTTATTCTAAGTGTTGTCCTTTTAGTCTTTACCGCATGATTTGTAACTTCTACATGCTAAATGTTATTCAACATGTAACTTCAATTTGTACTGCATGATTTGTAACTGTTATTCTAGATACTGTTGACTGTTAGGTTTGTACTAAATGGTTTGTAACTGTTATCTGCTGAATGTTATTCTAGATACTGTTGACTGTTAGGTTTGTACTACATGGTTTGTAACCATCTGATAAATATTATTCTAGATAGTGTCGACTGTTAGGTTTGTACAACATGGTTTGTAACTGTTATCTGATAAATGTTTTTCTACTTGTTATTGTCATTTCAGTTTGTATTTTAAGACTTGTATGTTAACTCTTTTATATACTGAATGTTGATTTCTATCTACAGTTGTTATTTGTTCTACTGCTAGATTAATAACTGCTCTATTTGTGTGTAAGGATAATAACATTAAAATTTCATTTATTTCAGTCATTGGTGAAAGTCAGCAGTAACTTATTAGACAGAAAACAAATAGAGTCTTGGGAAGACCTAAGTCCCAGTAAGCGGAGGTTTTCAGCATCAACATTGTTAGAAAGCCTGGAAGACAATGCATTATCTCTTGCAAAGGCACAGATAGCTGGAGATGAGTTTACACATGCTGAAGAAAATGTTTGTAAGTTAAATTAAAACATGTTTCAGTTTCTCTTTCAGCTTTGGATGTGAAAAGTCATATTTATAACTTGCTTTTAGTAAAATAGTTATAAAGCTTTGGTAACTTGTTTCAGTTGAGACATTTACAAACCTTTTAATATATATTTACAGCTATAGAGATTCATTATTTTTTTTGTTTTAGCTTATTAAAGTTCAGTAAATATCACAAGACTAGGATTTCATGTAAACTATAATCAGAAACATAAGCACTAAGCTTAAGAGTATATAATTTTTAAAAAGTATAATTGTATCATCTTTAAGTTTTAAACTTTCCAGTTCACATGCTTGTGTCAGATTTAACTATTACACACTAAGTCATCAATTATCAGATAAGTGTTGAGATAACCTAAAGTTGTATTAACTTCATCTGAATTGCGGGTTATTTGTTCGAGTTGACCATAATAATTTCAGAGGACTTACTGTTAAGTACGTGCATTCAAAGAAAAGAGCCATAATAATTTAATTCTGTCAGATTTAACTGTGCAGATAAAATTATAAGTAGGTCACTAGGGCTGAATACTAGGCTTAGATTAATATATAAGGATTAGCGGCTTGGCTACTTAGATTTATGGGATCAGTTCAATGGGAAAAAGGAGCTTATTAGAATGAGTGGCTTACATTTAAAAAGGGTAGAAGCTGGCTTGTTTGTAAGAGCTGTTAACTAAACTGTTAGGGCAACTTTAAACAAGGATTAAACAGTGGAAAGGAACAGAATAATGATGAAAAAATAAGATGTAGGGAGGGGTGTAGTATGGGAGCAGGGTATAAAATTTGTTTAATGGTAGGCTAAACTGTTATTATTGTAATACTAGAAGATACAAAATATAAAATGGATGAGCTTAGAGCACTGGTTGGAGAACTGGAGTACTTTGACATAATGGAAATAACTGAAACCTGGCTAAATGTAGACAATTTTGATGACAATAATTTATTTGAAATACACAGTTATAGGTTGTTTCATAAGGATAATGTACTAAAAAAAAAAGAGGGGGAGGAGTGGTTTTATATATAAAAATGTGAGTTACAGCCTGTTCAAGCTGAGGATATCAAAGCTAATAGTAGTGAAGTTTGTGTTAGTGGTTATAAGGGGAATTTGTTACATACCACCAGATGAAATTGATGAGAAACTCTACAATGAAATAAATAATTCAGCTGTTAATGAGGTTATAATTATAGGAGATTTTGATTTCAGGCATATAGATTGGAAAATGTTAAGAGTCAAATCATGAAGGATACAGGTTTTTGGAAACTGTTTTGGATGGTTTTCTTCAACAGTTGGTTAAGAAACATACAAGGAACAATGTTATTTTAGATTTATTATTAACTTTTAATAAATAAATGGTGGATAAGGTAGAGATTGCACAATTATATTTGATGTTTAGCTGCATATGAAGATAAGGAACAATGAGATTTTGGCTCCAAATTTTAAAAAAAGCACATTTTGAAGAGATGAGACAAGTATTATTTACTGTGAATTGGGTAGCTAAGTTAATTGGAGATACTGATCAGACGTGGAAAAGTTTTAAATAAATTCCTAAGCATTCAAGATAGGCACATATATTACAGAAAAAAATGGTGACTTCAAGTAAAAAACTAGGTTGGCATCATCTTTGTTTTGTATTCATGATGAAAATGGTAAGAACTAGGGGACACAAACATAAATTTTGGCAGGATAGGAGTCATCAGCTAAGACAGCTTTATTTTTCTAACAGAGTGGTTAACTTTTGGATGTGGTGAATACATTTAATTTAATAAGGTTTAAGAGAAAGCTTGATCAATATTTGCACAATAAGGGCTGGCTTTGAGTTTTCTAGTGTTTAGTTTAATATAGTGGATAGAATGGTCTAGATGGACCAAAAGATCCCTTGTTGTCCTTTAATGTTATGTTATACATTATTATGATAAATTCAAGTATATGATATTGTTATCATTGTTAAGGTAGAAGCCACTTTACACAAAATTCATGAATTATTTTTCAGTGGCCTCGGTAAAGGTTATCAAAGCCGAGGGTTCCTCTGAAGTGATGTTTCCCCAGGCTAGGGATATCATGAACACAACATGGAGAGGAATTGAAAATGTAGTGTATATTCCTGGAGCAGTAATACAACACTTTGCCAGATTCTCTGAAGGTAAATTGTACTGATATCAGTGTATTTTATATCTACTAACAGCTTAAGTAGACACAAAAATGAAAGTTAAGTGTGTGCCCTTTGAATATTTGTTTGGTGGTCCAGTGAAGGGTTTTCAGTGAAAATGTCTTTGAAAATTAATTTTCTTACTTGTTTGTCACTTTTTTATCAATGCAAGTCTTTGTGTTACCTATGTAGTTTTGTATATATTTTTAAGTATTTTAATTTACTACACCTTAACCATGTCTAAAGTTAAGCAGTTTTACAATTCCTTTCATGTTACAATAACCTTGAAAGAATTTCAATAAAATTTAAACTTCTTGTGCATAAATCATTCCTCACAAACCAACCTCTTTTTTTTTTTTAATTTCAGGATATGTTAGTGTCATTTTCATGGCTTACAATAATATGGAGAATATCCTTCAATCACATTTACTATTTCCTCAACATGGCCCTTCTCAGGGCCAGCAAGAAGTTTCATCTGAGAAAATAGAACAGGTTGTGAACAGCCATGTGGTATCTGTGTCCATTGGAAACACGCAGTTTACACATCTTCCTGAACCCATCATCTTAACATTTTTAAATTTACAGAAAGAAAATGTCACAGATCCTCGCTGTGTTTTTTGGGATTTTGAAACTAGGTATTACTTATTACTTTGGTGTAGCAAAAACAAACAGTAGAAAAGACAGCAAGACATTGAAAAATAATGAAAAAAGTGTTCAAAGTTGGTAAATTTTGTTAATGTACTCCATGCAGTATGTACCTAATTTAGAATCTCTTTATATTCTAACCCTTCAACGATTCTGTCTAAGCCTTTTTTTCTATGTAACATGGTTTAAACTGCCTGACAAAGGGCTTCTGCTGGAAACGTTGCAAATAATAATAAAGTTTTTGTCATAGACGTGTTTTACCAATTTTGAACATGTTTTTTCATTATTACTTTGTTGTGTCTGCTGAAGAAACTTATGCATTTAAATTTAGTGTATGCTATATATGTCTTTCTGGGACTGTTTCTGATAGTATTAAATATAAGAAGAAATTAATGCACTGATTTTAAAGTTTAACTTTAACATTAACAGATCACTTGCTTTTATGTGAAATATTTTCAAATATAAACAATTTATGTAGATAATTAAAGAACTTGCTGACATTTTAGTTACAGTAGTTATTAATTCCAATATATATAATGAATTACTTTATTATGAAACTAAGCATACATAGTAAAGTTATACTGTTTTAATTATCAAAAAAATAAACACGAAGCTCAGATTATTATTCTGTTTACCACATGTCATTGAGGTTATACTGGTTTCAGGAAATTCTATCCCTCATCTCTAGACAAAGGCAAATTGAAAGAATAAGAATAGACTTAATATAATGGAGAAGTGAATATTACATAGAGGAATTTTAAAAATACATATGGATTAATTTATTCTATAGTTATTTCTTTACATAAATATGGCTTTGGTAAAAGATATACTGGAAACTTAAAGTAAAGTGAGGATAGTTTTTAAAGATATGTGTAACACCTCAAAAATATAAGTATTATAACAAAATGTTTCTACTAACAAATTAAATTTTTATCTTATAAAATTTATTAATAAATCACAAGTCACCTATTAACAATTTGTTAAACCACCTGTTTCAAAAAAAGCTGTTGAGATGTCCTTAAAATGTAAGATAAATTTCATGACTTTTAAAAATAGAAAATATAACTTGTCAGTAAAAATTGCTGTTCTTAATTTCTCATAGTGATTGGTCTAGTCAAGGATGTGGTGTTGTATCCTTCAACTTGTCCCACACTGTATGTTCCTGCAACCATCTAACACATTTTGCAGTTCTTATGACTATTAAAGCAGTTGAGGTGGGTATTTAACAAGCTCTCGTAAGATTATATACATACCACTAGAAAACAGATAGATTGCAGAAAATATAATTTGTACACCTTTTTAGAGAGGATCTGAGGGGGCCTTAGTGTGAATCGCATCCATGAACATGCTTAACTTTCACCTGTATGGGAGTTGTAAAGTGATGATCAATCCCACTATTCTTTTATAAAGAGTAGCTCAAGAGTAGTGGTCTGTCACTATATAAATGGACTTTTACTTTAATCAGTTAATTGCTATATTTTTTAATTATATTTTTCTCACGCGTGTCTCTACTGATGGTGTATTTTTGTAAAAACATGAAATGTTTCAGCTAGAATGTTTTAGGTGTGATTATATTCTTATGACTGTTTCTTGTTTCAGTTGCCCATTGAGAACAGCAGAGCTTTACTAGTGATCACATATGTTGGCTGTTCTGTTTCTATCATTTCACTTGTTCTTGCAGTAATTACCTTCCAGTGCTTCAGGTAATGACAGTTAACTCTAAAAATATAACTTAATTATATATATATATATATTAAAAATTATTATTTTTCATTCCCTTACAAACTGGAAGAACTGTCAAGTAATCTGAGCAGACTTAAATCTTTGTAGAAAAGACATGTTTAAGTTTGTGAATATTCATATTTGCTTTTGGCTCCTGTTACAGTTACCTAGTATAAAATAGTTTAATGTTAATAACTCGGTGATTAAGGCCATAAAGGAACACATTATAAAATTTTTTAATTGACTGATGAAAATCTTTTAATACATTTAACTTGTACTGACAGTATAAAAAATATGAAATACGAATTTCATTGAGATATTTTTGTCTCAAAGTTTATTCTGTTATCTAAGTGACAGTGTTTTTATCACCTACAAAATCTTCATCGCAGGATTATTTTAATCAAATAGTTTAACTTAGTTCTTCCTTCATTATTGAGAATTTGTTTTTAGCATATTGCACAAAAAGATTAAATATTAAAGAAGCTTACAGATTTATTTCAAAGTTTAGTAATAAGGTAAAATCTGACTTTCACAACTGACTGAATAAAACTTCATACTTTGTGGAACTAAAATATGTTTTTACATGATATAGATCCTTGCAGAATGATCGAACAACAATCCACAAAAACCTGTGTCTTTGTCTCCTGGTAGCTGAAGTTCTGTTTGTAGCTGGGATCAACCAAACATCTGTACCAGTTTTATGTGGCATTGTAGCTGGACTTTTGCATTATTTTTTCCTGGCTGCTTTTGTGTGGATGTTTTTAGAAGGCTTCCAGTTGTATTTAATGCTTGTCGAAGTGTTTGAGTCAGAAAAGTCCCGAGTGACATGGTTTTATTTGCTGGGATATGGAGTACCTGCAGTTATTGTCTTCACTTCAGCAGCAGTAGATTCTCATAGTTACGGAACTGATCAGTATTGTTGGTTGAAGGCAGATAACTACTTTATTTTCAGTTTTATTGGACCTGTTATTGTAATTCTACTAGTAAGTTGTTGTTTTTACAGAGTACTAAAAAGGTTTACTTGAAAGACTTTCATAAAACAAACAAGTGTGTGGATTTTGATTTCATTTCTATTTCACAAAGCCCTTTTTCTTTCCTTCCAGACAAATCAACTAATTGTATTATGCCAAGTAACACCTAAAAACTATTATTTGCTTAAGTGTGATAGATCACTCATGTCCTGTTGATTATAATTTTTACATAAACTGCAATTAAGCTTGTCTTAGCCCATTGGTTATCATATCATGTTATTGATCAGAAGATTCGAGTTGAGATGTGCTGCCAAACATGTAAACTACAATTTCTACTTTAGGGGTATTAACTTTTACAGGCAATCTTGCAGTTCAGTTGAGAATTGCCGCAAAGGTGGCAAGTATTGCTGGCTGTTTTAACTCTCTTTTGATTAGCAGTTCAAAGTTAGGAATGAATATGCTCAAACCTTAAAGCTTAGATTCAAAATACTGTTATCAGTTTTCAGAAATCAAAAATACACAGTTAACAAGTAAAATTCTTCAAAAATTCATTCAGTTAGAACAAGATTAATGCAAATGAATGTCACAATGGAATGACAGTTTCTGAAAAAAAACTTCATAATATGGTGGTTTTTCATCTTGTATAAGATATATATATATATATCAAATAACAAATGCCTGTAGAACTTCAAATTAGCATATGTTTTTTTGTTGTTGTAAAGCAGTGATGAATACTGTAAATACATCATCTACACAAATAGTGAAAAATGCATGAAATTTTAACATGTTTATAATTTCAGTATTTATCAGTATCAAAGAGGTAACATTAAAGTGCTGTGTACATGACTTATCTCTCATTGGTTACTGAAATTTAGATATTTCTTCATTTGATGAAGTGTTTGCACACAAATATATATATATATTT